TTTTTAAGTTCATCCCATCTTCATAACGCCCCTAGGCACAAAAATAGAGAAATTAGTTTATTCTGCTGTGACATCACACAGGACATCTATTATAAGCCTACTCATTAACGGAAAAAGTACTCATCTTCTAAACCTCAGTATATCCACTAATATATTGATATTGTACTTTTAATCAATCATCATAAACATTGATGCATTTTATGCCTTAAAAGCACCATTCATTGAATAAAGTTATATTCCAGTATGACATCCAAATCTCTAATTACCACATTTATGATTGAAGATGTGATAAAAGCCAGTGACAAGTAACAAAATGTACAAAAAACAAAAACATAATGGTATAAAGAATGTAGCGCCTAAGTGTTTAGCGTAAACTAGTAAATACTAGTGAAATAAAATAATTCTCCGAATGGTTTAGACAAGTGTATTTATGTGGTATTCTTTTTACTTTGTAGTGATTAGTTTATTGGTTCTTTGAAAAGCAGAAAATGTTATTTCATAGTTCAAAAAACATCTATAGTTAAACTTGTTGAAAAATAAGTTTCGAACACTTACTAAACTTAGTGTTTAAATCATTCACGAGATATAGGCTTAGGTGCCGAAGTTAGAGTCAAATATTTATTTTAGGGCCGATGATACCCAACTTTCCAAAATGAAATGGAGTTATGATCTATCCTGTAACCTGCTGGTCAAAATTTGACTACTTTAAACACAGAACCACCCTATTAAATGATGGGTAATTAAGAAACTGATTATTTCTATAATAATTGATGTATGGTAAACACTGAGTTCTTTATTTTAGAAATTAGCGATTGTCTAGCTCTACACTTGTCTGGAAATATTTGGATTTAAAATATTTAAAGACTATCTAGGTTTCAACATGGCTAAGACATACTTTTCAGAGGAAAAGAACTGGTTTTAAGTTTACTACAATAAAAAACAAAAATAAGCAAAACTTTCTTAAACTGTCTACTGAGTTTTGCTTTAATGAGTTCGTCAAATTTAGCTTAATTTCCTGAACGATATTCACACACATAGTCAGCCAGTGGTCCTGTCTTTTGATAGCAAACAATAGGTAAAACCATCTCGAATTATTTCAGAATTTCATCAAACCGACTGAGTTATCGTAAGTGATTACGATGTAGCGGTTAACAAGTCCACAAAATCAATAGCTATGCAAGTCTTTGACATTTGACACTGGCCGCATTAGTTTTAATGGACTCACCTAACTGAATCCGTTTGATCACGCATCCGCACCATATCACGAGTGGGTACACCATGCTACACATCTACGACCGCTAGCCAGCCTATTAAATATATCTTCGAACCTCTTCGCTTCTGACTTTTGATTTGACTGGATTGGCACATTTCGATTATAAAAGGTGTTACGGGTTAGGCATTGTCAAACTCCAAATATCTGTGGCATCTTTAACGAGAACATCTGCTAGGCTACCTTTACGCTGGAGCTCCTTCATTCAATTTTTTAAGCACACAAACTAAACAACACATTCTTTTATAATGATACGAAACGAGCTTTCAAATATTGTTCCCAAGATTATTTTAGTAGTTATAATCAGCATGTAGTTCGGTAAAACTATTAATCAACCTAAGTTCCTATAACGAACGAGCATGATGAGATAAAATTTACGAAATGAATTCCACAGAAATTGAGATGATCTTTATACTAATAACAGCAAATATGACTACGAATCGAGTATACGGTGAAAAAAAGAAAGAATGTATCTGATAATACTAAAACTCAAAACCCAGGAAGAAATAAAAAGTAAACGCTCCTGTTCGACTGCATTCAAACTTAAGATAAGCCACACTATATCTCCAATAAGTGATTGTAGTTATTGGCCAGGCACCGAGCATGTAATCTGCTCAATATAAATTATCAGATGAGTTCAGAAATTCTGCAGACATCAATTATAGGTTCTATTTCGAAAAACATTTCAGTGATGACGTTTAACTAATCCACGCTGTCTAATAGTCTTAGTTTTTTATAGATCTTAATATCTTTAAGTTTTCCAACATTAGAGTAATATAACTGAGTAATATCATTTAAATATTTACATACTCAACAATGAGTTATAATGTTGGATGATGGTTAGTTAAATTATTCATTGACAATTTCATTGATGTAGTTCTAGCCTAAAACTTAATAACTGAAAATATTATCCTTTAACTAACTAACTAACCACAATTACATACAGGGATTTATTAGCAAATAGACATACATTCATAATATAAATCTTCCCAATTTCCCAAATTCGAAACCAGAAACTTTTGACGGAGAGTCTGAGTTACAACTTATCTAGCAAGAGAAAATAATAGTTAGTTTATAATAAATATAAATTTCTTTGAGACTATCAAATCCAAGCCTGACATTGATACCTATAACAGTTAGTTTAGTACCAACTTCATACTCAACCATTAAAGTAATGAACTGGGTTGCAGTGTTAGATGATCTAACAACTCATCAGTTTATAAAGAATGAATTTTAATCAAAGGAATTAGTAATTTTTCGACGTAAAGCACTTAGAATAAAATTTAAATAATCTTGTTAGTTTTAGTCCAACTTCAACTTATTAAGAGAAACGTACCGTAGTGAATTTGTACAAGTCTTACTGTAAACATGTTCTATCGGTATTAAATTATTTGGCAACGAACACGCCAGACATTGAAAACTATTTTTCTATTCACTAATTATTTGAATTCATGTGCTGACATGAAAATATTATTTTGTCGAATAGAGAACAATTTCGATACTGAACTGTCCATTACGATGGGTTATAATATATCTAAGATTATGGTGACTAACAATCGATTGTTGTATTACAGAATTGCAACAAATAAAATAATAAGTCATGATTACTACGATATTTTAAAAATGTAATTACAGTCGGTAGATAACAAGATAAACATTTAAAAAGTATAACTGTAAGTCATAACGTAGGACAAATGATGTTGTGTTTGAGTATAGGCGTCTTTACAGTTTATCGCGCATATGTATGCCTAAAATATTTCTTTTATTTAAACAATAACCATTATTGTTCCGACTACATTCGATTGATAAGTACAACTATTAACTTATAGGAGTTTGAATAATCAGCATTACTATTGACAATGTATAATTTGTTCTCCTTGTTGATTGGTAATTTCCTTACTGTTTACAGATTTGTCAGAGAAATAAATTATAAATCCTTAGTCCTCATTATATCTCCTTATCCGACACTGACTAATGTACAGTAGATTGGTAGTATTCATCACGTTAGCTTTTCAGATTCCATGCATTTGAAATTATTCTTATTAATTTCTCTTGTGAGTTATCACATCTATCTAAACATTAATTAAAATACATTTTTGGACCTCAGTTGAGTGGGGGATATTATTTTTTAAAATCTAAAACAACATACTTTAGTCTGGTCGCCTGATGACTTCTTGTCAAGTATGATTTCTTAAAACGCTAAGCTTCGCGAAACTAGTTCATTATTGTTGAAGAGCGTGACAAACTTGGTAGGAGAAACATTTATGAAATCACATAAAGACCGTATTGTTTCTTAAAGCACAGATAATAAAAACAACTTCCGTAACCAATCCGTAATCCATCGGTCAACTAATAAACGATATGTAGTCAGACCATAAAAATCCACCCTAGCTAAGAAACCATATAGTCAATATTGAATACCCTCTATCCGATCACCATTTGATCAATTTATTGCAATCATCATTTTTCCTTGATCGTTAAACCCCTTCCCCTCTGTAATTAACAGATTCTTTATCTGTATGATTTTTTGATGTATTTCCTATTGTATTTAACCCATTTCATGATTAATTACCTTAACGTCTTATGAACACACAGTGGTATTTAAGTATGCCATCAAAGCAAAACCCTGATTACCCTAGATGGCTGGAAGCAATCAACAGGAACTTCGAGAACTAGGTTTCGCGCTAATCAGTACCATTTAATAAAGTGTGTCTGAAGCTAAGATGGATTATGTTATTTTAAGGGACTCTAACCTGACCAACAAAATTAGGTCTGTCTGTACTATGAAGCGATTAAACAGAATGGTATACCCCTAAATAATCAACTTATTCAAGACTAGTACATGCATAACTTAAAAGCAAGCTGCTTTGTTCGCTTTTATTAGTCAGTTTCTGACTAGTTTTGGAAACCTGAGTAATGTAATAAGAACAGTCGATATGTTGGATAAAATTAGCTTTAAAAACGTATTACTTGTACACCACTTTTTATTTATATGACCGAGAAATAAATTATACTAAATGTTAGTATATTTTCATTGGTTAAATGGTGGTTAACTCTAAAAAACAGCCTACTATAGAGAAAACATTTGTACAATGTGCCTTTCCCTATGAAGCACATATGATAATAATTGTACTAAATAAACTGCTTCTCCATCAGTTGAATACACTATTGCAAATGAATACAATTTAATAAATAAACTATAATCCGAAAATGTACAAAGTAATAATATATTACGTGTATTGTGAACTGTTTACCGAAATTTTTAAAAATGTACATTATATTTCAAGTTAAGTCATATCACCACTGTCATAGTTAAATAGTACATAAAGTGAGGAGACCAAAATCCACTTATCTGTTATGCAATCATTAGTCACAAAATTAATTGTGAGCAAATATATAAATAATAAAAAACACTGAGGAAAAAAAAGGATTGACAATCCACTAATGTGAACATGGAAATAAAGAATGAAGAAAACAATGAACATACATCTTGAAATTCCAAAATAGCAAATAATGAATATAATCCACATGGTATCAATACAAAAAAATCATATTTCTGAAGCATCTGTATAGATCTGTTGATAATGCACAAATTTAACAGATAAACTGAAAATAAAAAGACAATAATAATAATAACAGTGTAGAATATAATAAACATCAAAATGATTTGCAGGATTCAAACAGAGAGGAGAGGGTAGGAAAGCAGAAAGGAAGGGAAGAATAAAGCTACATTGAGCAACGATGACCCAATACGTTTTCATCCAAAAGTGAGCTTTGAGAAAAAAAGGAAAAGAAATATACGAGGAATATACTTCGAATATAATATACACGAATAGAAACAGTCATTTTAAATTACTGACTTTATTGGAACGACCAAGTTTCTCAAGTTTACAAACATAGCCTGAATATATTGTTAACCACTTAAATGAAATTGTATTGTAGATGTAATGTAGATGAACTGGGTCTAACACCGAAGATAAATGATCAAGTTTCTATACAATCACTGGTTCTTCCTCTCAAATCTTCCTGAAGAGAGCACGGAACATTAATACAATTACCTCTATGTCTGGCATTAGTGTTTTAGTCAATATGTTGTTCAGTCCTGATGCTCTCCCCCTTTCGATCTGTCCGATGGTTACGCTGATTTTTTGGGTTGCTGGTAAGATAACATCTATAGGAAGGTCTGCGTGTGCTGTTTCGATGTTCAGTGGGACTGGCCTATTCAAGAGTTCTTCAAAGTGATCTACCTATCTGTTCCGCTGTGTTTGGATCTCAGTGATTGGTCTGTTTTCTTTGTCCTTGATAGGTTACTTTGGTTTACTATATTTTTCGAATAGCCTCTTCATTGTATCATATAGTTGTCCCATATTTCCTTCTCTTACAGCTTTTCCTGGTGTCATTGTTAGGTCTTCTACATACTTACTCTTTTCATACTTAATGCTCTTCTTTTGTTTGTTTGCTTCAGTGCATCTAGCCTGAGGCTTGGCCGCCCCTGTTGTTGTGCGGTTGTTGCTGAATGCAGTCTACTACTTCTTATCTTGAATCTTGGTCAGAGTGTCAATGGAAATCAAATATTTATGTTGGTAATTCTTGATGCCTAGCACCCCCTTACATATCAAAGTTATTGCTTCTTTATTTCCTTTACAGTTGTCCTCCACAGTGGTTTGTTCATCTTCTAGTAGATTTGTAAGGCCTGGAACTTGTTACTGAGAGTTATTTTGAATCCACTGAGTATGTTAGCACCTCGAAAGGAGGCTATATTTGACTTCGTAGTGCTCTTTGACAATTATCCAATGCTTCTTTAACTTCAGGCTTAGCTCGGCCACAACGAGGTGGTGATAAGAAGCTATATACGTTCGTCTCTTTATTCTTACGTATTCCATCAACCTGAATTTTTAATTGATGCAAATGCAATCGCTCTGGTTTTCTGTAGTGTGGTTTAGTGACATCCCTGTGGCATTTTACATGCGTTTGTGAAGAAAATGTTACCACCTATAGACATGTTATTGAAAGCAAAGATGTCCCAATTTTTCGCCATTCCGTTCCTTTCTAGCAGTTCATGTCACACTATCAAGGCTTCATACCCGGTATTATCTATTCCGACCTTGGAGTCTAGGTTCTCTATCATGATGGGCTGGTATTTTCATGGACAGTCCTCTCAGATGCAGTGCAGCCTCTTTGTTGCTATTATTCTTGGGTGCATAGCACTGAATGGCATTCACTCTAATCCCTTCCTTCTTTGTTTTACAGGGTAGATGCTTTGATCTTTCAGCCATGTGATTCCTATTCTATAAGTCCTTTTCGTACTTCTTTGAACACCACCAGACAAACTCCTTGTGTGGTAGTATTTTTTTCCTCATGACCAGTATACAATAGCACCTTCTCTCCCGATGCTAATCTCTGTACAACTTGTGTTCAATAGACTTCAAGTACTTAAAGTAGATCCCGGTTTTGTCATCACACTTCTGTCACCATTTGAATGATCTTTCGAGTCTGCTACATTTTCCGGACATTCTATGTACCTATATTAACTCCTATTTCGATTGTTAGAAGAGGGATAAGCCTTATAGCTTTCGAAGAGTCACAGCTTTCATCATTAGATGTCATAACGTTTTTATATGAAGACCTTTCAAATCCCAGTGCAGAGTAAATGGTTTAAATGACCATTTCTGGTTGGTGTTTTTTTGAGAAACGTCCTCTCTTACCAAATACGATTGCTAATCTTACACCCAACCCTCCTTCACCTGGGTTGGGACCGGTAGTAATTCCAGAAAGATCCCGGGAGGAGCCATTCTATTATTATCTTACTCCGATTAGTTGAAAAAAACAATTGGTAAATTTATCTTGAAAACTTGAATATACTCATTTTTCAATAACTTACAATTTCAAGGAATTTGTTAATTAGTATCATTAGCTAGTTTTAACAAAATACAATAAGTATATTTAAAGTTGTTCATTAAAAATTTCGTTCAGTAAAACAATAAACTATTAGAGTCGACCAAAATTGTCATTTTACCTATCTCTACTAAATTATACCAAAGACAGTAAGAAATTTTTCGACGACAATAGTAAAACCGAGTAAAATAAATTGAAGATTAAATATTACACATGATTAAGGAGAATAATCAATTAAAGATCTCAAAAACTTACTTCGAACGCCATAAAAGACAAGCGTACGCAACAGCCGCGACATAATCAGTAGAGAAGCATATTACTATAAAGGAACAAAATGAAACAATAAGAAATGTTTGGATGTTCAGTATTGAACTAAAAGTAAAAAATAATCAACGTTATTATTAATCTAAAGATCCACATATGTATATATTCCCAAAGTACATGCGAGATTATAAACAATGTAACTAAAATAAGTTTGCAAGTCAAGTGATCATAACCCATTAAGTTTCCATAAAGAAGTTGATTATACTTAGAAACTACCGATTCATTGACTCTTTAATACTCTCTAGCACATCAACATCAGTAAATTGTTATTCATAAAATTTACCCTTCAAAATTTAACTGAAAATTACACATTTTTCAAAAAGATCTCAAGAATATTCAATGTTAATCTACGTTCAGATACTGCTCATAATAATACATACATATTCTGGCTAGTTCATTATGTAATCATAATACATATTAAAGATTAATAATGACAATCTCATGGTTATGAAATCAAATTGGCTAATTAAACTTTTATCTCACAAAGATAAAAGTTCACTAAAGTCAATTGTAGTTTCAAGGATTGTTCACATGTATAATAATAAACAAACAAATTATTTTATTTATTTATTTGGACACATAAATATTAGTACAAGAGGGCACCAAATACATATGCGCAACACCATATTTGTGTGTGTGGGGGGATTGTGATACTGCTCGGGTGCCCAGACCGAGGCTGGTGGTTTTCTTAGGGGGCCACACTCGGAGCCTTTGACCTAAAGGTCTGACCCACAAGGCAGTGGAGCAACGTCAGGAGATGCAGTCCCATGGTGACCAACAAAAGGTTCATGCCCCCTGAATGCCCTGGTACGGCCGAGAGTGGGGAGAGTCCGCTCTCCCTCTCGAAATACTCTCACACGGCCACGCGTATACAGCCTCTGCCAGGGAAGTCCTACTCATTGCCTTCTCGTGGCGGGGGTGTTGTTTACGAAAATGAGAGGACGAAAAGCGAATGTTCGGCGCTTTAACCGGATTCCAAATCAATGGTGCACATGGGCTGCAGTATCCTGCGGGAACAAATGGCGTATGAACCTTTTGTTGGTCACCGGCTACCATGGGACTGCATCTCCTTACGATGCTCCACTGCCTTGTGGGTTAGACCTTTAGGTCAAAGGCTCGGGGAGTGGCCCCCTAAGATAACCACCTGCTTCGGTTTGGGCACCCGGGCAGTGTCACAGCCCACACACAAATGATGAACTCTTTATGTCTATGGAAATTACTTTTGTCGCTTTGAAAAACAATCAATTGATTCAAATTATGATCACTACAATTATTGTCATTATTAATACTAATATTATTATTACTACTATTATTGTCATTATTGTTATTATTATCATTATTATTATTATTATTTCCCACATTATTCACCCTCTTTTATACTTATACAGCGGCTCGTCTTTGGTGGAATTCCGACTGTATCTAAACGTTCTCGAGTCACTGTCCGGTTGAAAATTGTATGTTACCACCGAATACGAGGACTGAAGCAGATTTTCTGAAACCACGTGCACCATTCAAACTGGCTGCCTTCAACGTTCGCACATTTATGCAGGTCGGACAACAGATAGGGCTGGCTATGTCTTTGGAAAGTCTTAATATTGATGTTTGTTGTCTATCCGAGACCCGTATTCAAGACTCTGGCGAAGTACTACAAATTCGATCTCCATCTGTCACTTCAAAAAGCTTGTTTTACGTGCGCTTATCCGGGGACCCTGTGGCATCTTCGTCTGGTCTTGCAGGCGTTGGTGTCGCACTAAGCGCTAGAGCTGAGGCAGCACTAGTCGATTGGATCCCCATTAACAGTCGGTTATGTGCTGTTAGATTAGAAAGTTCCATCAAAGTGAGAAGAAATCGGCGTGAGAAACGATGTCTTTTCGTCATCTCCGCCTATGCCCCGACAGATTGCAGCCCGGATGCAATCAAGGATGAGTTTTACCACCAGTTATCTGTTCTTCTCCAGAAAGTGCGTTCGACAGATATTGTAGTACTAGCCGGAGACTTGAATGCTCAGGTCGGGCGTCTAGGCACAGAAGAGAGTCGTTTAGGTGGCCGATGGGGACTCGTTGGTCGCAGGTCAGATAACGGGGACCGTCTACTGCAACTTTGCACAGACCACAACCTGTTTCTGGCTAGCACTAACTTTCGGCACAGTCATCGCCGATGTGCCACCTGGCGTCCTCCCTCTGCATCTCAAGCCTGGACTCAGATTGATCACATCGCGATCAGCTACCGCTGGCGTGGTTGTGTACAAGACTGCCGCTCCTTTTGGAGTACCTATCTGGACTCTGACCATGCCTTGGTCTGCGCCAATCTTGCCTTACTTTTCAGTGGACAACGAAGTGAACGCCATCAACGGATTGATGTTAGCAAGCTGGTTGCAACTTCTGTTGCAAGTAAGTATCGAACCGAGCTAACCTCTAGGCTAGCTACCACTCCACCGAAAAGTATAGATGAGCATTGGTTGCAATTGCATGACGCCATGAAAATGGCGGGAACAGTCAGTTGTGGGTTTGCGAAACGTCCCGCTTTTAAGCACTGGGTTTCTTCTGGTTCCTTACAACTCATTGAAGCCCGTCGGTCTACTCCGGGTAACCGTGAGTTTGACCATAAACGAAGGATTTTACGTAAGGAAATCGGGCAAAGCTTGCGTAAGGACCGAGAAGCCTGGTGGTCGATGCGTGCTAATGAGCTGGAAGCAGCAGCTGCATCTGGTAACTACCGGAAGCTCTTCCAACTCATCCGAGCCACTGGCAGCAAGAAGTCTGGTGTGAGTGAAACAATCTGCGAGGATGATGGGATGCCAATCACTAACATCCATCGACGTCTTGGACGATGGGCAGAATTTTTCGAAGGGCAGTTCAACTGGCTTGCTGCTCCGGCAACATCGGTCAGACTGGCCTGCTGCTCCGGCAACATCGGTCAGACTGTCCTGCCCTCCATGGCCGGTGACGACTGATCCACCAAATGAGGAGGAAGTCCGCAAGGAACTCCAACTCTTGAAGCGTTACAAATCACCTGGCCCAGATGACTTACCTCCGGCTCTTTTTAAAGATGGTGGTGACTTTTTGACTAAGGAATTGACGACGTTGTTTACAAAGGTTTGGGAACTAGAGAGTGTACCAACGTCATGGAATGAGTCGATAGTTGTCCCTATCTTTAAAAAGGGTTCACGTCGTTCTTGTAACAACTATCGGGGGATAAGTTTACTTCCGATTGCGTCCAAGCTATTGGCTTCCGTCATTCTTCGTAGGTTGTTCAAAACCCGAGAAAGATTGACTCGCGAGGAGCAGGCTGGGTTTCGTTCTGGTCGAGGATGTATTGATCATATCTTCACCCTCCGCCAAATGTTAGAACACCGCCATACTTATCAAAGGCCAACAATCGTAGTGTTTATTGACATCAGGGCTGCCTTCGATTCGTTGGACAGAACTGTTCTCTGGGATTGTCTATTGAAGAAGGGTGTGCCTGAGAAGTTTATTAACATCCTAAAAGCCCTGTATAAAAACACCTCAGGCAGAGTGAGGGCATACAACCACCTCTCTCCATTGTTCCATTCCAGCAGTGGGGTTAGGCAGGGTTGCCCAATCTCACCATTCCTCTTCAACTTTGCCATCGATGACATTCTGGAAACAGCTCTGATGAATGTAAGTAATGGTGGTGTGGATCTGTTGCCTGGAGAAAGACTTCTCGACCTTGAGTATGCGGACGATATTGTCTTACTGTGCGATAATGCCCAAGGCATGCAATCTGCACTTAATCAGTTGGCAATCAGTGTCCGTAGGTATGGTATGTGCTTTGCACCTTCCAAGTGCAAAGTACTTCTACAAGACTGACAGGATTCTAATCCTGTACTCACCCTGGATGGTGAGCAGATAGACGTAGTTGAGAAGTTCGTGTATCTGGGTAGCTGCATAAGTGCTGGTGGGGGTGTGAGTGATGAGATCAATGCACGAATAGTGAAAGCCAGAGCGGCTTATGCCAATCTGGGCCATCTATGGCGCCTTCGTGATGTTAGTCTGGCTGTAAAAGGTCGGATCTACAACGCGTCGGTGAGAGCAGTTTTGCTCTATGCTTGTGAAACCTGGCCTCTCCGAGTTGAGGACGTTAGACGACTCTCTGTGTTCGATCATCGCTGTCTCCGAAGGATTGCTGACACTCAGTGCCAACACCATGTCAGTAATGCAGAGGTTCGGCATCGTGTGTTTGGGTACAGAGATGATAATGCAATTGGTGTCACCATCTTGAAACACCGACTTCGGTGGCTTGGACATGTTCTCCGAATGTCGTCCCAGAGAATTCCACGTCGTGCATTATTTGCCGACTCTGGGACTGGTTGGAAGAAGCGGAGAGGTGGTCAGTGCATGACATGGTGTCGTGGCATGAAAGAAAGCTGCAAAGGACTGGCTTGTGTTGGTCCTTCACGACTCCCTGGCTGGGGTCCGAGAGATGGTGCTACACAGTGGCTAGAGACGTTATCAGATATGGCTCAGAATAGAAGCCAGTGGCGATCCTGCTGTAACCTTCTTTTACTTTCTTCATAAAAAGTGGTTGTCTCTCCTTTACCTGAAAGATTTCTTCTGATTGTACCTCTTCGTCATTACTCTCTTTTTCTTTTGCGTTCCTCAGTTTTTTTTTACTTTTTTTTTTCTTTTTACTTCTCTTCGAATTCCCATTGTTTTGTGTGGCGCATATATATTGGCGCTCTCTTGTACCAATATTTATGTGTTCAAATAAATAAAAAATAAATAAACGCCATTTGTTCCTTCAGGATACTGGAGCCCATGTGCACCATTAGTTTGGGATCCGGTTAAAGCGCCGGATATTCGCTTTTCGTCCTCTCATTTTTGTAAACAACACCCCCACCACGAGAAGGCAGTGAGTATGACTTCCCTGGCAGAGGCTGTATACCCGTGGCCGTGTGTAAGCATTACGAGAGGGGGGAGGGCCCACCCCAATCTCGGCCATACCAGGGCATTTGCGGGCAAACAAACAAACAATATTCAATGGATACTTAGTTAGATGAACAATAATGGAAGAAATAGATACTTGACAATTTAATAAATTGTTAAATACAAAATCCATACAAACCAATAGTGTCATGTTATGAAGCATTAAAAATCTTTATTTTAAAAAAAATCAGATGAGTTCAAACTAATCAATAGTGTAATTTTTTCATGTTCATGTCACTTAATGTTGAAATATGACAACAACAAAAAATACTTCTAAGAAATGAGATAATCTAAAAACGTATTCAGTTCAATAAAGTCAATCATAATAAGGAATTACATTCAACAGTATTATAATAAATATGTTCACCTAGATAACGATGAACAAATAAATCTTTAGAAATAGATCGTAATGTTTAAGATCGAGAATTTCTTTGAAACATCATCAAGTTAACTAACATTTTCACACTTAACTCAAACTACATCTATCTCATTTTAAGCTCACACAATCATTATAAATATTGTCATTTTTAATTGTTTGAACTGCAAGGTTGAAATTTCAAAATGGAGTGGTCAGTAATTATAGGATTTCGTAGTGTACTTTTAACTGTTTTATTATTTGACAAAGGTTAACAACTAATAGATCAAACTCTAAGATTTTTAATGGATTGAACTTTGATGACTTTTTCTGAGAAGTTATTGCGTACATTTATACAGTATCAACTGTCTAGGCATTTGTTTTGATAATTACATTTCACTGTGCTGATATGTGGCAACTTGAACTGATGTACACATCCAGTAAGTTCTACGTTACTTAGGACTGCCGTTTACAGTATATTATTTGTAATATATTATTCAGTGATTTCTTGTAAATAAATATATTCACACTTTACCAGTGACACAAACTAGTGTCTTATGAGTGGACATAAGTACTGTAAGAGACTCAACTGATTACATATAGAAATTTCAATAAGTAATCAGGTACAGTCAATAAAACTAGCCACTTGAGCTAGCTAACTGACTTCTAACAAATAATAAAACAAATACGCATATACATTACTGTTTACTTGACAATTTGAGAGATTACCTCTTATGGTATTCGAGTATCTTTCTAAGAATTTGTTATTTTCACTTCCTATGTTCACAATAGACTAGGTGATTTCTGAGAAACTAAACCTTAAGATATCGACAGTTCACGAAGGTAGTGTCAAATTTAGCACCAAGTTTATTTTTTAACGCCTGCCACAGGGAAACCGTATTAATTGAGTGAACAGGACAACTCTCTTCAATACAGTACGAAAAAAACTGAGTAATTATTATTTAGTACCCATATGAAGGTTTCTATCTTAAACTAACCTCCAAGTTAAATAGAATCAGGTGAACCGACTTTCTGTTGGCACCTTAGAACTGAGTATTAACATTAGTGAGCCGATTTTTAATGTATATTGATAACATTACACTCAAATATATAACAAAGATGTAGCATAGGATTTGTGTATTGTTTTAAAAATAGTGTTGCGTTGGTTAAAAGTCGATACTTTTAACTCAACAACAAAGTTCATTTACTTAGCTTATCATCAAACTTACCATACAAGGGCTTATTATATATACTACATTGTAAACATGAAATGCGTGGGGGGGATGGTCAAAAGTTAAGGTAGCAAAAGCTAACAAAGATCAAATGACTTTACTAACCATGAAATTCAACTCTCCAGATAAATACTTACTTGATATAGTTTTTGTTCGCCACAAGGGAGATACACTAGTCTCACCGATAAACACTACTAATGGTAAGATAACAATCCACAGGAGATAACCAGCGGCAAATTGCATTGTATTAATATTTGGCCCCAAGATACATAGATCCATATTGTACGACTCAGAGCAAATCTGTGCTATAAAATGCCTGCGTCCTACAACTACTAATATCCAGAACACTAGGCAAATTCTTAAGGCTAACAATAAGCAACCAGGTACTGTATTCCAGACAGAAAAATCGATTACAGGGTCTCTATCAAACTAAAAGAGATAAGAAAAAATAAACCATTACAGAGAATGTCTTACAAGTAATTTAATAATTTTAATCGAATTAAGTCTAGTCACAAGAAACGTTGCACAATAATTTTATCATTGGAGAGTGACTTAAAATGGAGTTGAATATATTTGCTCGGTGATGATTCTATAAGTTGTCCTCAATGTACTGTCTTTTGTAATATATTTAGTTATTTAATCTAATAAGAATTTAAGAAGAGAACTAACTCTATGCACAGTCAGTGGATACAGAGTTGAAACAATTGATCATCTCCGTTTTTAAGCAACGTTAACACAATTAAGTCAAGTAATAACAAGAGACCAACGGCGAATGTTCGTCAATATAAGTTTTCTTCAAATCAGTATAAAGGACAAAAGCAATTGACAACATGAAAGGCAAACAAGTCAAAGTAACAATTTTAATCATAGTAAAAACTAGGAATATAGGAAATATAGTTTGGGAAGAATGATTGGAATCGGAAAAAGGAAAGCATTGATTAGCATTAAAACTAAAGATTTAGAAAAAGTTGAAGAATGAATAGTATTCCGATTGAATTTAAACCATTTCACCAAAAGTATTCCCGACTACGGATTACAAAATATGTAATTTACAATGAGGTTGATAAACCCACTGTAAACCAATAAATCATACTTTAAACTACCACTGGTGAAATCTTTAAGTTTTTTTTCTCTATTAAAAAATTAGTGGTGTTCTTTAAGTTGAAACTGATAATTTTACAAATAAATCACTCAACTCATGAAATAAAATATCCCCATAATAATACCTTCCAATAAACAAAATGCTATAGCAGTTACCTGACTAGTTGTTGCCATCTACAATAGTTATTGATAAGAGAAAGGATCTTGCATAATGAACAAAAAGAACTTGTATTAAGTCTCGTTAATGAGAATAACAAATGAAAAGTTTCTCCAGAATAATAGTAATAATAACTAAACCTTTAAATAATTTGATAATAAAATTACCAAATTTTCACAAAAACTAATTACAATAAAATTTCTTTTACTTTTTCCGAACTGAACTTAATGGAAAATGTTGACCATTCAATGTTAATCCTTATGATCCTATGTTAATACTATGGAACTGATGGTAGAGAATGATAATTGATTTAAAATCATCAAAATGAAGACTCTGTATGTGTTTTTTCTTTGTGACTAAGCAACCCACTACAGATGGGAGTGTTTGGTTAAAGTCACAATTTGTGTGACAGACAGAAATACTGAAGGACTTCTCAAACTAAAATAACTGCGCTAAAGCCCGAATCTTTTTACCCCATTCCAATGATTAAAAATCAAATACTTCAACAAATGAGCTACCACTTAAATTGATATGCACAAAAAGAACAGATGAAGTGAAATTCTACTCCACCACTTCAAAAGCTCGCGAGCAATGAGAAGTTGGCTGTCACGGAAATGATTTCTCGGTTATAAAGTCGATTAAAAAGGGATAAGCTTGTCTAAATCATCGGACAAACAGAAGAGTCAGAAATCTGGTCAAAGTAATAAGTTACAAAACATTGACAATTTACTTGAATCTTTAAAAAATCACCTAAAATTTTTGTTTTACATCAAATATTGACCAGAAACTATTCACTCTCCAATTGGCGATTGATAGTTATCATAAAGATAAACACTTAAATTATAACTAGTGAATAACTTCATAAACACCAAGTTTATATTACAACTGTAGAAGTATTACAAGTAATCGTTATTAGCAATCAAGAAAATAAATGTACATTCATTGAGATTCTACTTCCAACATGTATTCAAGGCATCTCTCGTATATGACTATTGGTCAGTGATACTTATGCTTCAGGATCATATCAGCCGCAAGCTTTATATCAAATTCTAGCGCTACAATGAGTACAACAATACATTTCACACAAGTACATACAAACATTAAGAGGTAAAAGTATGAACTAAAAGTAGTAGTATCGACAGTAGCAGAAAATGAAAAAACTCACCATAGCCCATATATACAGTAAAGTTTTGACTCCGACCAACAGAGTAACCAATAAAATTACATATGGCCAAAATGATGTGGACTTTTCCTGATTAGTTGATGGCCTAACATAAATATTTTCTTGGATAGGATCGTAACTGTACAATTTATGACTAAATTTACCAAGATGGAGGAATCCGGTTGGTAAAGTGGAAAAAACTTTGGAGGTTAGTGGACGAAGAGCTTTGGAAGTATCACAAGATTGGAATGCGATTGACGGACATTGAGGACTGAAACCCATTTGACATGTACACAATAGGACAGCTAGGAACACTGAGTCTGCCCATTGTGTAATTACTGTTCCCAGCTCTGAAATCAGACCTAGTCCCAGACCATCGAATGAAAAAACACCCCAGTGAACAGCAGCCAACAGTGTTCCTAGACTAGCCAACCAAAGATGAGTAAGGTAGAGGCAAACATGAAGTGAACGGTTGTTGGCCAGTTTGATCTGCATCAAGCAAAACAAAATTTCTTAATAACAATAAAACAGAACAACGATAATAAGTCGTCTACATTATTCTACAAAAAGATCACCGGTTAAACTAGGAATTATTTTGAGTGTAAATGTAATCAATAAAGAACTGATGCCAGTAGAGGAAAAAATACAAGTGTTATTAACATCGTCAATAAAACAATATCCACGAACGAATCAAGGGATATAGCCATATACGAATGGGCAGAAAAAATGAGCATCTTGATTAACAGATGCTTTTCCTTTTGATATACTACAAAAGGGTTTTGTGTTTGGGGATGAGAAGTGCATTTCAAGCATTCCAGCATTGTTATTTCGCATTCAGAAGATTGGATCAAATCGGGATATTCACTTATTATGACGGTGCTGCATAAGTGGTTCTCGATGCATGAAATCCAAATATATATTAGAAAATTTAATCAAATTGAGTAATGGGCAACACTAATGAGCAAATCTTGATATAGTCACGTTAGATCATATTTAACTGTGAACTACAACCCCACCACGAATTTTTAAGTAAAAAGCCTTCAGTAATATGGTTTCCTTGCAAGGCACCGACCTCGATGTAACAGAACTTTATAAGTTTTTTTTAATCAACAGTGTTATGTCTTCAAACAAAGGAATATAGTTAGAGCCAGACGTAAACCACTAAGCGAGTATTCGTACCAATAATTCTCGATTGAGATAGGCGTTGTTTCCATAACTTTTATCTTCATCAGCCAACAATTTTAATTCTTAATAATCTCCTCCTCGAATTTTTTAACTGTGCGCTTACCGTTGAATAAGGCGCTTGCATTCTAGAAAACTGGTTCTCAAGGACACCAAAAAATTCTAGAACTGTCTGCTCATTTTCTCCTGTATCAAAGTCGATTGGAGCAAAGGGTACACCATTTGTTTTCCTTTGTTTTTTAAGTAGTTGAGGTACAAGTACAAGATTGGCCGAGGTATTTTGTGTTGCAAGAACCCTTGTGCTGATATTTTGATTGGCGTAGTATGTGATGATAACGCCCTCATTTAAAAACACCTATGTCTACACTGCATAATAATAATATACAACAACTAAAACATTTCAAAAATAGCTCCTTCACTTCTTTCCAGCAAACAATACTTGTAAGTCATAGAGTAATTTACTTTATTTAAATTATTCGCTAGTTTTTTAATGAATTGTTACTAACCATATATTACGAGGAATATTTAAAAAGCTTAAACGAATGTTCTTTTCTCTAAATATGTAACGACATCTAATTCAATACAATACTTGAACATAATGATAAATTATAAACAGCCAGTTAAAACGTACATGTGTTGTTATATTCAAAATAATATAGAGTGACAGAAATATAAAAAACATTTGTGCGATTCCATGTGTTTCAAAAGAGAAATGATGTTCAAATTGATTGAAAGACTGTAATTTTGGTTCACCATTAACAAGCCATATATCATAAATCACTGTTAATAAGGAATAAGTTGATGACGATGATAATGATGAATTTGAATGACGAGGAATTGCAGTAGTCTCCCATTTGCATGTAGTTAAATTACGTTTACATGCGACCAAACTCAAATACCAATAACTTTATATAAAAGGGAAAATAAATCTAAATTCAAATTACACTAATCAGTGAAAAACCATTTCGAAAAATCTCATTTCTTCTAGATTACGTCAACTACCAAATTAAAAATGAACTTTGCCAATTACCATAAGACGGAACAAATTGCAGCTACTTAGCTACCGAATAAATTCATTATTTATATTCTAAATACTAACTTGAAGGATGAATCAATACAAAATTCTGGTAAATGTTACATTTTACTTGTAAAAGACATATAACAAAAATATATGGTGTTTTTACCTTTACCGCATATAACCGTATTATCATCTAATAATAGGTAGCATTCATCGACACTTTTTGCTGCGTTCATTTTTGTGGATAGTATGAATGAAGCACAAGACTTACTTATCACACATTGTTTCCTACTATATAAATAAATGATTCTTAATTCAACATAGAAAGCCTGGGATAATCTTGTTATGAATTCAAAAATACTGCATCTCATTTTAACAAATTTTCTTCTAACAGGAATTTTGCTTCGATTTCATTAATCTTCATCTCAAAAATCTTAGCTATTGTTTGTAGAGAGTTACCAAAACATTTCTGTTTACTTTGGTGTATGAAACTTTTTTATTCAATCTACCTGACACATTTGGTCAATCAAAAACTAACCAAATGATAAGTGAGCGTGATTGGTCAAGGAATGGGTTGTATCTATGCGATATATATATATATATATATATATATATATATATATATATATATATATATATATATATATATATATATATATATATATATATATTCAATAAGCTTCCTTCTCACTATCAGTCTTTTCACTCAAGAAGCCATTTGGACTCGTGTATAGGAAGATTACGTATCAGTATCGAATTTCGAGACCGAACGTCACAATGCCGTCCAATTCACGAGTACTTTGAAATTATTTTTAAGATTTCTTCATGTTTTAGAACAAATGTAGGTAAAAGACAACATAAGAACAAGTCCAAGCGTAATAAAATTTTTGTTAATTGATATCGAAATCCAAAGAAAATTCAAAAAACAAATAATAGTACTAAGGGTGATGAAGAATACAAGGACGACGGAAACAGGTAAACACAGGAAATTAAAAGCAACAAACAGAACGTTCAAAAACAAAAGAAAATCAGTGAACGATAATCAGTTACTGCATAGTGACTAGTTACTAGTACTGGTCGAATTACACAAAGTTTATAATGTGGTCAATAAGTGAGTATGTATTGTGATGCAGTTGGTTTCATCTTGCGTAATTGATGCCAGCCGGTGAAAGCTTTAGGACTAAGCTTTTGGCTTGTTGGGATTTATCAACACGCTAAATGGCGAAAACATTAGACATTGTAGACCGGTTTCTATACTGACAGTGATTCAGACAGCGAAAATCCCTCACCTAAAATGAACAGCCCCCGAATGCCCTGGTACGGCCGAGAGTGGGGTGAGTCCGCTCTCCCTCTCGAAATACTCTCGCACGGCCGCGTGTATACAGCCTCTGCCAGGAAAGTCCTACTCATTGCCTTCTCGTGGCGGGGGTGTTGTTTACGAAAATGAGAGGACGAAAAGCGAATGTCCGGCCCTTTAACCGGATCACAAACCAATGGTCAACATGGGCTCCAGTATCCTGCGGGAACAAATGGCGTATGAACCAATCTTGGTCACCGGCTACCATGGGATTGCATCTCCTTACGATGCTCCACTGCCTTGTGGGTTAGACCTTTAGGTCAAAGGCTCGGGGAGTGGCCCCCTAAGAAAACCACCTGCTTCGGTTTGGGCACCCGGGCAGTATCACAGCCCACATACAAACGATGAACTCTATGTCTTTGGCAACTACTTTTATCGCTCCGAAAAACAATCAGTCGATTCAAACAATTATCATTACTATTATTGTCATTATTAATACTATTATTATTACTATTATTGTCGTTATTATTATTATTATTATTATTATTATTATTATTATTATTATTATTATTATTATTATTATTATTATTATTATTATTATTATTATTTCCCACATTATTCACCCTCTTTTATACTTATACAGCGGCTCGTCTTTGGTGGAGATCCGACTGTATCTAAACGTTCTCGAGTCACTGTCCGGTTGAAAGTCGTATGTTACCATCGAATATGAGTACTGAAGCAGTTTTTCTGAAACCACGTGCGCCATTCAAACTGGCTGCCTTCAACGTTCGCACACTTATGCAGGTTGGTCAACAGATAGGGCTGGCTATGTCTTTGGAAAGTCTTAATATTGATGTTTGTTGTCTATCCGAGACCCGTATTCAAGACTCTGGCGAAGTACTACAAATTCGATCTCCATCTGTCACTTCAAAAAGCTTGTTTTACGTGCGCTTATCCGGGGACCCTGTGGCATCTTCGTCTGGTCTTGCAGGCGTTGGTGTCGCACTAAGCGCTAGAGCTGAGGCAGCACTAGTCGATTGGATCCCCATTAACAGTCGGTTATGTGCTGTTAGATTAGAAAGTTCCATCAAAGTGAGAAGAAATCGGCGTGAGAAACGATGTCTTTTCGTCATCTCCGCCTATGCCCCGACAGATTGCAGCCCGGATGCAATCAAGGATGAGTTTTACCACCAGTTATCTGTTCTTCTCCAGAAAGTGCGTTCGACAGATATTGTAGTACTAGCCGGAGACTTGAATGCTCAGGTCGGGCGTCTAGGCACAGAAGAGAGTCGTTTAGGTGGCCGATGGGGACTTGTTGGTCGCAGGTCAGATAACGGGGACCGTCTACTGCAACTTTGCACAGACCACAACCTGTTTCTGGCTAGCACTAACTTTCGGCACAGTCATCGCCGATGTGTCACCTGGCGTCCTCCCTCTGCATCTCAAGCCTGGACTCAGATTGATCACATCGCGATCAGCTACCGCTGGCGTGGAGTACCTATCTGGACTCTGACCATGCCTTGGTCTGCGCCAATCTTGCCTTACTTTTCAATGGCCAACGAAGTGACCACCACCAAAAGATTGATGTTAGCAAGCTGGTTGCAACTTCTGTTGCAAATAAGTATCGAACCGAGCTAACCTCTAGGCTAGCTACCACTCCACCGAAAAGTATAGATGAGCATTGGTTGCAATTGCATTACGCCATGAAAATGGCGGGAACAGTCAGTTGTGGGTTTGCGAAACGTCCCGCTTTTAAGCACTGGGTTTCTTCTGGTTCCTTACAACTCATTGAAGCCCGTCGGTCTACTCCGGGTGACCGTGAGTTTGACCATAAACGAAGGATGTTACGTAAGGAAATTGGGCAAAGCTTGCGTAAGGACCGAGAAGCCTGGTGGTCGAAGCGTGCTAATGAGCTGGAAGCAGCAGCTGCATCTGGTAATTACCGGAAGCTCTTCCAGCTCATCCGAGCCACTGGCAGCAAGAAGTCTGGTGTGAGTGAAACAATCTGCGAGGATGATGGGATGCCAATCACTAACATCCATCGACGTCTTGGACGATGGGCAGAATTTTTCGAAGGGCAGTTCAACTGGCCTGCTGCTCCGGCAACATCGGTCAGACTGTCCTGCCCTCCATGGCCGGTGACGACTGATCCACCAAATGAGGAGGAAGTCCGCAAGGAACTCCAACTCTTGAAGCGTAACAAATCACCTGGCCCAGATGACTTACCTCCGGCTCTTTTTAAAGATGGTGGTGACCTTTTGACTAAGGAATTGACGACGTTGTTTACAAAGGTTTGGGAACTAGAAAGTGTGCCAACGTCATGGAATGAGTCGATAGTTGTCCCTATCTTTAAAAAGGGTTCACGTCGTTCCTGCAACAACTATCGGGGGATAAGTCTACTTCCGACTGCGTCCAAGCTATTGGCTTCCGTCATACTTCGTAGGTTGTTCAAAACCCGAGAAAGATTGACTCGCGAGGAGCAGGCTGGGTTTCGTTCTGGTCGAGGATGTATTGATCATATCTTCACCCTCCGCCAAATGTTAGAACACCGCCATACTTATCAAAGGCCAACAATCGTAGTGTTTATTGACATCAGGGCTGCCTTCGATTCGTTGGACAGAACTGTTCTCTGGGATTGTCTATTGAAGAAGGGTGTGCCTGAGAAGTTTATTAACATCCTAAAAGCCCTATATAAAAACACCTCAGGCAGAGTGAGGGCATACAACCACCTCTCTCCATTGTTCCATTCCAGCAGTGGGGTTAGGCAGGGTTGCCCAATCTCACCATTCCTCTTCAACTTTGCCATCGATGACATTCTGGAAACAGCTCTGATGAATGTAAGTAATGGTGGTGTGGATCTGTTGTCTGGAGAAAGACTTCTCGACCTTGAGTATGCGGACGATATTGTCTTACTGTGCGATAATGCCCAAGGCATGCAATCTGCACTTAATCAGTTGGCAATCAGTGTCCGTAGGTATGGTATGTGCTTTGCACCTTCCAAGTGCAAAGTACTTCTACAAGACTGACAGGATTCTAATCCTGTACTCACCCTGGACGGTGAGCAGATAGACGTAGTTGAGAAGTTCGTGTATCTAGGTAGCTGCCTAAATGCTGGTGGTGGTGTTAGCGATGAGATCAATGCACGTATAGTGAAAGCCAGAGCGGCTTATGCCAATCTGGGCCACCTTTGACGCCTTCGTGATGTTAGTCTGGCTGTAAAAGGTCGGATCTACAACGCGTCGGTGAGAGCAGTTTTGCTCTATGCTTGTGAAACCTGGCCTCTCCGAGTTGAGGACGTTAGACGACTTTCTGTGTTCGATCATCGCTGTCTCCGAAGGATTGCTGACATCCAGTGGCAACACCATGTCAGTAATGCAGAGGTTCGGCATCGTGTGTTCGGGCACAGAGATGATAACTCAATTGGTGTCACTATCTTGAAACACTGACTTCGGTGGCTTGGACATGTTCTCCGAATGTCGTCCCAGAGGATTCCACGTCGTGCATTATTTGCCGACTCTGGGACTGGTTGGAAGAAGCGGAGAGGTGGTCAGTGCGTGACATGGTGTCGTGGCATGAAAGAAAGCTGCAAAGGACTGGCTTCTGTCGGTCCTTCACGACTTCCTGGTTGGGGTCTGAGAGATGGTGCAACACAGTGGCTAGAGACGTTATCAGATATGGCTCAGAATAGAAGCCAGTGGCGATCCTGCTGTAACCTTCTTTTACTTTCTTCATAAAAAGTGGTTGTCTCCCTTACCTGAAAGATTTCTTCCGATTGTACCTTTCGTTCCCTGATTACTAGCACATTACCTTACACCAATCTCTTCGTTATTGTTCTCTCTTTTTTTTGTTGCGCTCCTTAGCTTTTTTTTTCTTTCTTTGTATTCCTCTCGAATTTTCATTGTTTTGTGTGGCGCATATATATTGGCGCTCTCTTGTACCAATATTCATGTGTCCAAATAAATAATAATAAATAAAATGAACAATCAAAAATATGAGTTTCTGCCTGAAACTACCCACAACTTTAGTTGCATATAAAAAATCATCCCATTTATTTGAGGAATGCACATGTACATATCTGAGCCATATATTTCAAAATAATCAAAATAGGAATTATACACAACAAATGGTTGAGTGAAGTTTGTTTACATACATTCATGTAATTAATTAAATCGACTTATTCTCCAGGTGCTTGAGTATGAGCCACACTTCAAGTATGAAGGTTAGTGAAACTCCCTGGTTGCCCGAATCGAAACAAGTGGAACAAGGTCCGAACCTGGAACTTAGTGACTGAAAGTAAAACATCCAAACTATTAAGTCACTGCCACCGATTTATTCAATGGTACGGATGTAACACGGACATATATATGTACGCAGTGGGATTGACAATGAAATGTGAGACAGAAAAAATCCATAAACAAATAACAATAATTTAGTCATTTTGTACTATAAGGTTTTATTAGTAATATATTACCTATGATTTTTATAAGTTAGATGAGAAAAGTTGGTAAGATGAAGCACGTTTTCTCCAGTTTAACTGGTTACAATTTCTTACTCGATAACGTGAAAATTGACAGAATAACAAAATAAAATACTAGGCATCTTAAAGTGGCAGCAACTGCACAGGTCTTTGGTACATCTAATACTTAAACAATATCCAAAGTATTTAATTGTGACTACCTTATCACACAATAACATTACAGGATTTCTAAATTATCACTTCCAATAAAATACAATAAACAATGAACCAGTTGTTTGATTTTAAGTACAATCGAAACAAAATTAGATTGATTGAATTTCAGAAAAAAATACACGACATTTATACGAACCGTGGTTGCCGAAGGTCTTGCACAATAAAAGTAAATTGTGAATTCGGTACTACACTTTCAGGATCATCCTCCTCCGCGCAAAGCCCAGATGAAGAACAGGGTACGGATCGAAGTAAATCCATTTCTCCTGTGGGGGAACACGTCTTGTGCCAAGCAAGAGAGTTGATTTTATCAAACATTTTGTTGCAACGTTCAGTTTCCATGAGCCACTGACTTTCCTGATATGTCATACCAGTTACATTTTGTGTCCATATTGATTCTGTGGCGTTTCCATAAAGATCCATAATGAACTCACCGTCAACCAAAACCAATGTAGCAATGTCTGTCAAATTATGTGCTGTAAGACAAAGTAAAATAAAATAAACATCTACTTCATGCGATTTCCAAGTTTCACGGGTTACAGAATGATTAGTTAAAGCTAATACTTAAATTAACAGAAATGTGAATTGGAAATATTAGTTAGGTTTTTTACTCTTCTGTTCAGTGTTTCCTAGCAAACATCGAAATAAAAAGCATGAGTGTATGATAAACACTACTCGCCATGACCATCTTAGGTGGGAACTTTCATAACATTTCTAAGTGACCAGGAGTCTTGGGAAAGAGCTCTTATCGACAACTGCATTACTAAATTGTAGATCTACATAATTAATTTTCATTTGAAGGTCAAAAAGTACGAAATGATGGGGAACTAAGATATAACTATGTCCAAAATTCCTATACACATTAGTGTGGTGTCGGCTACTTATGCGAACAAACATAATTAGTATGTAGTGGGAATTGGAAGTGGAATATTTACCAGCAGAAGGTTGATAAAAAGAGAAGAGGAAAGAAAACAGAGTAATCGGAAGAACAACATGATTGGAAGAATAGTGGAATATGTAAGGGACAACTTGATGATATATTTAATGCATGATTTTGGTATTTTACCAAAGCAGTTTGATTTCACATAGAGCAATATACATATTGGTTTACGGTACATGAGTTTTCATTCACTACGTTAGGACTGAAATTCATTAATTATCCTAAATTCTTCATTTACGAGGCCCGGTTAGGCACTGAATGACAACCGACTATTCTAAATGCCCTGGTAAGGCCGAAAGTAAGGAGAGTCAGTCCTCCCTCTCGAAATGCTCTCATGTGACCACGTGCATACAACTAATGCCAGGGAAGTCCTACTCTGCCTTTTCGTGGCTGGGCTGTTGCTCACAATATTGAGAGGACGAAAAGAGAATATCCAGCTCTTTAACAGGATTGGTGGACACGGAGAGTTCACCTAGGGAAGTTGAAAAACCCTGACTCCAAACCAATAGTGCACATAGGCTCCAGTATCCTGAAGGAACAAATGGCGTATGAACCTATTGCTGGTCACTGGCTACCATGGGATCGCATCTCCTGACGTTGCTCCACTGCCTTGTGGATCAGACCGTTAGATCGAAGGCTCCGAGTGTGGCCCCCTAAGAGAACCACCTGCTTCGGTTTGGGCACCCGAGCAGTATCACAGCTCTCGCACCAACCAAATGAGATTTGTTTGGCGCATATGTATTTGGTGCCTCCTTGTACCAATATCCATGTGTTTAAAAAAATGAATAAATAAATAAAATATTGCTTAGGTAAATTTGTTTCTGACCAACACTAATCCAATTTCCTTTTTAGGTTCCTCAAGAAATACCCTTCCACGGTGTGGGCAGCCGGGAAGTGACACCAGCCCTCATACCCGTAACAGCACACGAGACCAAGTTGGTCACATTCAAATCCTTCCTACACCTAATACCTCTCTTATCTCCATGACTAACCCTCCTCACGTCTCTTTATCACCTCGCACCGCTAGAGCAAACGATTCGAGTACGTGGAACGCTATTCCTGGTCTCCTGAAACCACGCTCTAAACTACACGTAGGAGCTTTTAACGTACGAACACTTTGCCAAATAGGACAGCAGGCTTCCTTAGCTAGGACTTTAGAATCTCGCGCCATCGATGTGTGCTGCGTCTCCGAAACGCGCATACAGGATCCAAGTAGCGTCATTCATTTGACCTCACCATGCCAAAATAAAGAACCGACTCGATTTACGCTTCGTGTATCTGGAAGCCCTGATTGTGCTTCCCGTGGCCTCACCGGCGTAGGTATAGCATTGAGTCCTAGGGCAGAACTAGCTCTCTTAGAGTGGATCCCAGTAGACAGTCGTTTGTGCGCTGTCCGACTGAATGGAACAATGAGGATCCGAAAAGATAGGGACACTCGTCGTTGCCTCTTCGTCGTCTCTGCCTATTCTCCCACTGACTGCAGCTCAGATGATGTAAAAGATGAGTTTTACAGAAAGCTTTCGGACCTTCTCCGAAAAGCTAAGCGCTCGGATGTAGTAATAGTGGCCGGTGACTTTAATGCTCAAGTAGGTAAACTAAGCGATAGGGAAAGACACCTAGGTGGATCTTATGGTGTCGTGGCTCAAAGAACAGATAATGGCGACCGTCTGTTGCAGCTATGCTCGGATAACCGCCTGTTCCTTGCAAATACTAACTTTAAGCATAAGGAAAAACATCTTTTAACATGGCGACCCCCTAATTCGTCCCAACGTTGGACCCAAATAGATCACATCGCTATCAGCCACCGATGGAGGGGCTCGATAGAAGACTGTCGCTCATTCTGGAGCACATGCCTAGATTCAGATCATGCTCTAGTGCGAGCGCGTATTTGCTTGCGTCTTACTGTACGTAGGAAAGACGCTGCAAGGAAACCTCTTAGGGCCCTACTTAATGATAGTCAAGCTAAGAGTATATTTCAGGAACAACTAGGAAAACAGTTAGGCAGCCATGTATGTGATGCCCACCCTGAGGCAGCGTGGAATGATATCCGAAAAGCTGTGGAAACAACAGTGATATCTGCTAGTAAGGTAAACCACAAGGTTAGGGAGCAACACTGGATCTCAGCAGCATCTATCGCACTGATAGATGCTCGGAAACTCATTCCACCTGGCTCTGAACATAATGAAGATCGGAGTCAGCTTAAGCGCAAGCTGACAAAAAGTCTACGCAATGATCGCGAACAGTGGTGGGTAGCGAAAGCAATAGAAATGGAAAAGGCAGCGGCAACAGGTAATAGCAGACAATTTTTCAGAGTTGTTAAGGAAACCGGTATTAGGAACCCGACCGTTAGCGAAACAATCTCAGAGAAAGATGGACATATTATTCATTCTCAATCCAGGAGATTGGATCGATGGGCAGAACACTTTAGGGGTCAGTTCAACTGGCCTTCAGCCACACTTCGGTCTCCCACGATCCCCAGTCAACCTGAATGGCAAATTAATGTAGGTCCTCCGTCCCTTTACGAAGTTGAAAAAGCCATAGGAAATCTGAAACGAGGGAGAGCAGCAGGCCCTGACAGGTTTACTCCTGAGATTTTTAAGGATGGTGGTCCAGTATTAGCAATGAGATTAACCGAGGTCTTAGGTAGAATTTGGGAACTGGACGTAATCCCATCTGACTGGTCTCAATCACTGATTGTGCCAGTCCATAAGAAATGACATAAGTCCTCCTGTGACAATCAAAGAGGAATCAGTTTGACTAATATAGTGTCTAAAATACTAGCCTCAATAATACTTCGACGCCTAATCAAAGCTCGTGAAGAGCAGATTAGAGAAAATCAGGCCGGTTTTCGACCTGGACGTGGTTGTATAGATCAGATATTAACACTACGTCAGGTTCTGGAACACAGACACACATTCAGACGCCCCACAATGGTAGTATTTCTCGACCTTAAGGCGGCATTCGACTCTGTTGATCGTGAGGTTCTATGGCAGTGTTTGTCAATGAAAGGAGTACCAAAGAAGTACATTAACCTTATAAAGGCTCTCTACTCGAACACAACTGGTCGAGTGAGAGCTTATGGTGAACTGTCATCAGAATTGATTACCTCAAGTGGTGTTCGTCAGGGCTGCCCACTCTCCCCATTCTTGTTCAACTTTGTGGTCGACGTACTCTTAGAGATAACACTTTCCTCGTCTAGATTTCCAGGGGTTGAACTTCTACCGGGAGGTTCACTTGTTGACTTAGAATATGCAGATGACATAGTTTTATTTGGTGAAGATGCTGACAAAATGCAGAGTCTTCTGACCACTCTAAGCAACAATGCAAGCATGCTCGGGATGCGATTCTCTCCCTCGAAATGCAAAATGTTGCTTCAGGATTGGGTGACATCGACACCCGAACTAGTGATAAGGAGTGAAGTAGTTGAGTGTGTCGACCACTTCACTTATCTTGGAAGTCTCATCAGCCCTTGTAGTCTGGTTTGTGACGAAATCTCAGCACGGATACAGAAGGCTCGACTAGCTTTTGCCAACTTGCGTCATTTATGGCGTAGGCGAGATATCCGTCTATCAACCAAAGGACGGGTTTACCGCGCAGCAGTTCGTTCCGTCCTACTTTATGGCAGTGAAACATGACCGGTAAGAGTAGAGGATATACGTAGGCTACTAGTATTCGATCATAGGTGTCTTCGAAACATTGCTCGTATATCCTGGGACCATCGAGTAAGTAACACAGTTGTTAGGAAACGGGTACTAGGTAAGGATAGCAAATCAATTGATGAAGTAGTGAAACTTCATCAGTTGAGGTGGCTGGGACACGTGTTACGTATGCCCAACGACCGACTGCCTCGACGTGCTATGTTCAGTGGTATAGGAGTAGGTTGGAAGAAAGCTAGCGGCGGCCAGACCAAAACATGGCACAAGTCCATGAAGTCACTGACAAGTGGACTGAGTCGTGTTGGTAGGTGCAGACTACCTGGTTGGGGACCGCGAGATGATAGCAACCGATGGTTAGAGACCCTGAATGACATGGCTCAAAATCGTTTGCAATGGCGCAGGTGCATCCACTCTCTGTGTTCTCCCAAATTCTAATCTTCTGAATTCTTCATGTCCCTTTTTTCCTCTTTCCAAATTTATTTCACTGGATTATACTCTTTAAATAACATCTCCAAACACTAATCTTCCCGATTACTGCTTATACTCTTATTACCTCTACCACTACGGGATTTGAATTGACAACTGCATCTCTGTGCTTATGTGGTGTGGCAACTCGAACTGATGTACGTACGTACGAAGTTCTACGTTGTTACTGACTGACTGACTGAAATTTGTTTCTGAAAAACTTCATTACTCAGTAATGGAGAACAATTGGGGGGAAATTCGCCTACCTCCCATATTTCAACTTAATGAGCACTTGTCATTACGCTCCTCAGTCCAATGTTGCATGTGCACAAATAGAGTTATTAATCAAGAACATACAACACACTTTTTACTACATTACACAAAATCATATCTTCATATCGCAACAAAAGCAATGTCTATTAATATCAGTATAGACAATAAAACTATTTAATATGCCAAATAGAAAACCAGTTAACCAAGATATTGAAAAATTATTTATTTATTTATTTGAACACATAAATATTGGAACAAGAGGGCACCAAACATATATGCGCCACACAAAACAATGAGAATTTGAAAAGAAGGAAAAAAGAAAGGTAAGGAGCGCTGAAAAAAGAACGATAACGAACAGATCAGTGTAAGGTAGTGTAATAATAATAATAATAATAATAATAATAATAATAATAATAATAATAATAATAATAATAATGAGGGAAACAGAAGCGTACAATCAGAAGAAATCTTTCAGTTAAGGAAGATACAACCACTTTTTATGAGGAAAGTAAAAGGAGGCTACAGAAGGATCGCCACTGGCTTCTATTCTCAGCTATATCTGATAACGTCTCTAGCCACTGTGTTGCACCATCTCTCAGACCCCAACCAGGAAGTCGTGAAGGACCAACGGAAGCCAGCCCTTTGCAGCTTTCTTTCATACCCCGACACCATGTCATACACTGACCACCTCTCCGCTTCTTCCAACCAGTCCCAGTATCGACAAATAATGCACGACGTGGAATTCTCTGGGACGACATTCGGAGAACATGTCCAAGCCACCGAAGTCAGTGTTTCAAGATAGTGACACCAATTGCAATTTCGTCTCTGTGACCGAACACACGATGCAGAACCTCTGCATTACTGACATGGTGTTGCCACTGGATGTCAGCAATCCTTCGGAGACAGCGATGATCGAACACAGAAAGTCGTCTAACGTCCTCAACTCGGAGAGGCCAGGTTTCACAAGCATAGAGCAAAACTGCTCTCACCGACGCGTTGTAGATCCGACCTTTTACAGCCAGACTAACATCACGAAGGCGTCAAAGGTGGCCCAGATTGGCATAAGCCGCTCTGGCTTTCACTATACGTGCATTGATCTCATCGCTAACACCACCACCAGCATTTAGGCAGCTACCTAGATACACGAACTTCTCGACTACTTCTATCCAGGGTGAGTACAGGATTAGAATCCTGTCAGCCTTGTAGAAGTACTTTGCACTTGGAAGGTGCAAAGCACATACCATACCTACGGATACTTCCACATTGCAGCCCCCAAATGCCCTGGTGTGGCCGAGAGTGGGCTGGGCCCTCTCTTCCTCTCGTAATGCTTACACACGGCCACGGGTATACAGCCTCTGCCAGGAAAGTCCTACTCACTGCTTTCTCGTGGCGGGGGTGTTCTTTACGAAAATGAGAGGATGAAAAGCGAATATCCGGCGCTTTAACTGGATCCCAAACCAATGGTGCACATGGGCTCCAGTATCCTGCGGGAACAAATGGCGTATGAACCTTTTGTTGGTCACCGGCTACCATGGGACTACATCTCCTCACGATGCTCCACTGCCTTGTGGGTTGGACCTTTAAGTCAACGGCTCGGGGTGTGGCCCCCTAAGAGAACCACCCGCTTCTGTCTGGACACCCGGGCAGTATCACACCCCTCGCACAAATATGATGAACTGTCGATAATTATGGAAAATACTTTTCTTGAAAAACAATACAAAAAAACAAAAACAACCAACTAACAAATCGTGTAACTCACTATTTGACACGTTTTCCAGTTTCACTGTCCCATAAATATAACCCCTTGTGGCTTCAAGTTCATCAATTTGAGTCCGTTGAAAGCCAAACTTTGTCAAAAACAAATATCTGTTGGATGGATTCCATTTCCCCTTAAGACGTAATGTGTTTACCGCATCAGTGATCAATAGAACGGTTAAAATACCTATCTACAGAATAGAAACAAAGGATATAACCTTCACTACCATTGTTAGAAATATTTGACACTTAAGAACTTTTGCGTATATGATTTTGTAAATTTCAAAATAACGTAACAAAAAACCACAAGATGTTAACTAAAGATACGTTAGCAGAGAGTTTGCATTTCCTTAACTGTTTACTAAACACTCAGTTATATGATTTGACAGTATTGTTATGATTTGAACACATGGATATTGGTACAAGGAGGCACCAAATACATATGCGCCAAACAAATCTCATTTGGTTGGTGCGAGGGCTGTGATACTGCCCGGGTGTCCAGACAGAAGCGGGTGGTTCTCTTAGGGGGCCACACCCCGAGCCGTTGACCCACAAGGCAGTGGAGCATCGTGAGGAGATGTAGTCCCATGATAGCCGGTGACCAACAAAAGGTTCATACGCCATTTGTTCCTTCAGGATACTGGAGCCTATGTGCACTATTGGTTTGGAGTCAGGGTTTTCCAACTCCCCTAGGTGAACTCTCCGTGTCCACCAATCCTGTTAAAGAGCTGGATATTCTCTTTTCGTCCTCTCAATATTGTGAGCAACAGCCCCGCCACGAAAAGGCAGAGTAGGACTTCCCTGGCATTAGTTGTATGCACGTGGTCACATGAGAGCATTTCGAGAGGGAGGACTGACTCTCCTTACTTTCGGCCTTACCAGGCCATTTTGGGTCTGTGGTAATAATAAGGATTAGGCATTGACGATATGAATCGAGAAAATATAAATTAATGAAATGAAAATAAAGGTTGTGAGGAATTTAGAATCTGAGTTTGGGGAAAGACAGAAAATAGATGCACCTGCACCATGGCATAACATTTTGAGCCATGTCACTCGAAGTCTCTGGCCATTGGTTACGACAACCACGCAGACCCAACCAGGTAGCCTATACCTATTGACATGTTTAAGTTCGATTGTCAGTGACTTTTTGGACGAATACTATGTTTTGATTCGGCCACTCCTAGTTTTCTTCCAGACTACTGCACCAGAAAAAAAACAGTAAACATCATAGTTCATCAAGATGAACAGAAACCATACAACTCATAACTGCAACTGAATAGCCTCTTTGAAGCTCAAAGTGTAGAGCCTTCACTTGTGTAAAGAGAATTTAAACAAGGATATAGGTATAACCACTACGGGCTCTTCCAACAAATGTTAAAGTGAACAAGTGCGAAGTCTGAAGAAAAACGAGGATGCGAGTTTACGAATAACGATCACAAACGATATTAGACATACTCTAGAATGGCTCAAGTGGTTTTTGAATGCTACGATGAGTCCTCAACTAAAACCAGCTTTAGGAAATAGAAGCCTTTACGATTTACACACTCATTACACCTAGCAACTTTGTTACTATTCCCATAATAGGCTTGATATTGTGGAATATTAATTGTTTGAACAAACTAAACTACAGAACTCCGTGGAACGACACTAATTATTACTGGGGATTATGTTGACAAATGGTTTCGGTTGTCCATTGTTTTGTACAGAATTTTGTCATGATTACAAACTCCTGCAAGTAAACATACTTTTGAGAGACTTCAGATGTAAAGATAAATCGAGCGGCTGATGTCGATTTTTGTGACCTGTAGTACTATGGAGATCGACCTCATTTTGAATGCATCGACAGATGTCGATGTTGTGCAGTTTGGTAGGGAGTTCTAGTAATTCACTACTCAGTGAGAAAAGTGAAATACAAGTCGCAAACGATTTGATCTGAATTTTCAAACCTTCAAACAATGGTTTTTTTTATCGTCAGTGATAGGGGGAAGTCTATTACTTTATTATAATAATTTGGAGGGTGATACGGTTGGGAGAAAATTCTTAGACGTGGAGAATCTAGTAAGAACATTCCCTCAAAGCACCCATATACGTATAGGTGGGTTTATGGGAAAGTGTTTTGATTTTTGGAAGAAAACAGCAACATCTTGGAAAATAAAGAATGCTTCCCGGGCAAACAAAGAAAAATACAATTTGAACTACCCTCTTATTTCCTCAGAATTCTCAATCTCCCTATTTCGAGGAAACTTTGGGGAATTTCGGACAAATTTTGGGGATCTCCCCAAAGTTGTGAAACGTTTGGTAGTTTTCCATAGTTTGGGGAAATTTTAGGGAAAAACCCCAGTGTTATAAGAATCTGGGGAAATATTCCAGAAAATCCTAAAGTTCCCCAAACATTTTCGGGATCTTCCTCCAACCTGGGGAAATTTTGGGGTTTTGTGCTACTTATCCAAAGTTTTATATTGCGTCTTCCCCAAAGTTTACCCAAAACGGACAAAATTTTCCCCGAAATAAAGAGATCGGATTGCACTATTTCCCCCAAAAATCATCTCCAACTTACGAAAATAAGTTATTTAAACTACTGACACATGATCACTTATCTTTCCCTAAAGTTTGTCTTCATTTCCCTTTTTGTTTGATTGGGTTGAGATTACAACACAGATTTTTCGTGATAAAACTTCTGGTTAAGAATGTCGTCTTTGAAGTTTTAAATCGGACACAGAACAAGATAAATAGGTTACTTACTTGAAGCATACCCATTATTATGAGCTACACCGTTTGTGTAGGAACCTGAGGATCATTGGAGTAGAGATAAGAGACATACTAGCCGCGAAAAACCTTCAGTATTCATTAACAAGAGTAGAAGGTCAAACGACTTAAGTTAAATCTCTTGATTTATTGGAGGTACTAGCGTTCAAATCAGAGGTACATATATTTCGCGTCCCGATAAAAGATTCTAGTAATTCGCACGTTGATGTTAATTGCACAGCGCTTTTCGAACGGGAAGTTTAGTCCTAACGTGATTTGCATATATCAAACTTTTGCTGTGTTCTTACGCAACAAAAGTACCATTTCAGTTCTAAAAAATCTATCCTGAGCTATACGTTCGGTAGATTACTTTTTTTTTGAGTTTCACTATATTTAATAGTTACCTGTGGTTTTGCCTCAGCTTACTATTCGGTTTTTTTTGTTTTTCACGTATAGACTAGTTTCAGTTTATATCACTCGTTTTGTCCGTTTTTGTCCGTTTTTGTCCGTTTTCAGTGTGCATTTTAGTGTTTTTTTTTAAAAAGGTCTTAAGCTTTTGCCAGCATCTATAACATAGTTTGCTTCAACACCGTCATGAAAAACTCATGCAAACGTCCGGGATGCCGTTTTGCTGTCACAACTGGCATGCAGTGCGACAACTGCAAAGGTTGGTTCCACGAAGCATGCACAAATCTGACAGCAACTGCTTACAACAGACTCAGCAAGTCAGACCAAAAGTGGGTATGTGTCACGTGCAACACGGACGCAGTAGTTTTGCTGAGTAACATCATTGTCCTACTGACAGGTCTTCGGAATAAGCTATCAGTTAACTAGGAACACGACAGTAAAAAAGCCGATATACAAACAAGAGCGCGCAACGGACTCAAAAATAGGGATGTCGATAGGTATACCATCGATGGAGCATCCATCAACACTAATGACGACGTGTCGAGGCTCAGTACCATCATTACGTCGACGGTACTAGACTCCCTAGGCAAACTCGGGTCTCCCAGCTCAGAGTCCCTGAACACAACAGTGGTTCCCAAAAACCCTGCAGGTGATTTGACCCACGTTAAGAGAGCCCAAAAGAACCAGGCATCACCGCCTAAGCCGAGCAACCCAAGTGTTGCTGCACGGAAAATAACTGGTGATTTAGTCGCACAGTCTACCCCCAAGACTGTTCGTCCGGTCAATAAAGAGCCCAAGACTCATAAACGCACACTGACCTCCAAACAACAAGTTATTAAACCTGAACCCATCGTGAAACCTGGTAAATTAACAACAGTTCGTGACGATTCTCTCATTATCATGAACCTCGTCGACAATCCTGATCTTCCTCTCAGTCTGCAGGATAAAAACGACAGGATGCTGTGGGGTGAATTGAACAAAAAGCTCGAACTTCCTAGAATAGAGCCTTTGACGGTCACCCGGCTCACTCGAGGAAAGGATTCTAAGCATCTAAATCACCCGAGGCTTCTCCGAGTAACACTTAAGAATGCTACCGACGTAGAGGACGTCTTGCTAGCAAGTCACTTACTGAAATCAGATGGTAACGTAAGAATATTGCCCGACATACCGTACTCTGAGCGCAATATCATACGAAACGTCCCTAAAGAATCTCGCGAGAAGTTTTTCCGCGGAAGAAACATAATTGTCCAAGGTATACCGGAAAATGCAGACCCTACTCAATCAAATTCTGACATCAGGGAATGGAAATTCATCAAACAGTCCTTGAGGCTCAAACACATACTGACTCAGCATGTGACGAGACTAGCCAAGAAGGACGGTGATCTTAGACCCCGTCTAATAAAGATAACCTTCCCATCTTCCCACATGGCGACTGCAGTTCTGGAAGCATTTCGTGCTAATAGACGTCGATTGCCACCTGGAATCCACATGCACCCGGATAGGCCATACGAAGTCAGGACCAAGAACGAAGGCAAGTTGGAGCTGACCATTCCACTTGTGGACTGTCTAAACGATAAAAAAACGTGTAAAGGACAGGGCCTACCACCTCGGCAAACCTCATATAGGTGGGCTACCTGTCCATTCACATAAGGTTCATACAGAAAAACAGGACGAAGCTCACGCGTTCCAAATTGAAAGCATAAACTGCTTATATATGAACGCCGCGAGTTTACCAAACAAACTGGATGAATTACGTGAACTTAGCAACGCTAACAAGGCCCATCTGATAGGAATATCTGAAACCTGGATATCTTCTCAGTTCTCGGACCAAGAGTTAGCATTACCTGGGATGACTTTGTTCCGCAACGACAGAAAAACAGGAATTGGGGGCGGAGTAGCCATATACATAAGCTCTTGCTTGGAGGTGCACCAGGTTCACAACCTCGAGTTTAACAATCTTGAGGAATCCATATGGTGCTCTGTAAGGTTATCTAGTACTTCCAGGTGTCTAGTCGGAGTCATTTACAGGAAGCCAACTGCCGACACCGAGTACGATAGTCGTATGCTGGAAGGACTATCCCGCTCTATCCGTCTCGGTTTCACACACATCCTGATTCTAGGGGACTTTAATCTCCCTAGAGTCAACTTCGCAGAACACACGTACACTGGAGGCGACAACTCAACGGAAGCTCGGTTCTTCAACCTCATCGATAACTTGGGCTTATATGAAAATGTGAGGTCGGCAACTCGTTGGAGAAACAGTCAGACACCATCGCGCTTAGACTGTGTATTCACTAACGAAGAATTCCTAGTCGACAACCTCTCAATCCTGGCTCCTCTGGGAAAAAGCGATCATGCCGTCATAGCCTTCAGTTTTGTCATCAAAACTAAGCTAAGGTATCCCAACAATAATTTGCGTTGGAATTTTAAACGGCTGAATGTGCGAGCTCTACATGACCATCTACAACAGGTGGCTTGGGATGTTCACCCTCAAATCGATGTGGATGGTCATTGGGACTTCTTACTGCACACGCTCTTATGTGCTACAGACCATTCAGTTCCTCAAACGGTTCCCAAAAGCTTCAAGCCACCTACAGTTATCAAGAACCGTACCCTTCGACTCCTAAGCGGCAAACGGCATTGTTGGGCGGAATACAAACGAACTAATAACGATGGAGCGTATAGGCAATACAAACATATCAGGAACATGTAGAATTATGGTCTACTATGATATTAGTACTGCTCTAATAATAGACCTAATCCTAAAATTGTAGATTTGTCATGATATAACTGCCTAATCTATAAGATCTTACGTGGAAGTCACACCATCGACTACACCAACTCACTGTATGGTATCAATTACCAATACATGATGTAGAACAAGGTTAGGCTAGAGAAAGAACAATATATTTAATATGAATAGGAGATATAAGATAACATCCAGCAGGGACCACGCCTGCATGGTCGAGCCATGCCACTCGATCAACTCAGTCCATTCAATTCATTGTTCGCGCCTTCTCCATTGTTAGGTATTTCTCCGCGTTAAATATTGAATATCTATTTCCTGAGTAGTCTCGTGTTCACAGCTTTGTGGATTGTGTGGCTATTGTCCAATGCCACTACACTACTCTCCCACCAGAATCAACGTGATGTTGGTTCGATACCAAATTGGATGGGATCGTCGCGCGCCGGAGGTTACCAAGGATAATAAAGATCCTCCGGGTATTGATAAGCTGAAAGATATATCAAAAAGACGGCAGCATCTGGTCAGGAAATACATGTAATAATCTTAAAATATCTGCTTTCATGATTAACACGCTTAAAATGAAAATTTGGTTGAAGATTATTTGAACTATAAAAATGGGATTACAATAATAATAATAATAAAACGATGCGCGTTAATAACTTAACTTATAGGCAGTAATTATTTTGTGTTTAGAAATATTAAAATAATGAATATTGTAGAAATGTTAATATTGGTATTAGTTTTGGTTTAAATTATGAAATCAGATAACGATTATGCCGGTAAGTTGTCCATAAGAGTTGAATTCCAATTGCATCTGTATTAGTAGGCTAACTGAAGGAACAAAAGTATACCGTGGAGAAGAATTCCAACTAGTGTTCCAGTCAGTTTGATACGGTTTATTTAGTTACGGGTAGATTTTCTCAACCTCATTTTTACTTGATCGTGATAGAATTTAGTAATACTACTAACACACATGAATGTTTATCAAAACAAAATTTAAATACGTAAGTGATGATTATATGAATTTTGGACAGATAGCTAGGAACAAATCGTTAAACATGAGTGTATTCGTAAGAGACATGCTCTAGACTCAATGTTCTGATCTGTGGCAGACTATTTATTTATATTTATACTTGCTGGCTGATTGGGCATACAAGTTAGTTGCAAGTACGCAGTTTATATTAAGGCGGAATACGATTTAATTGAGATATAGTGGTTATAAGTTATTAAAATCAGTTAGGCCTGTGTCATATTACGAAGTGATGTGGTATTGCAAGATGTATTTAGCTAAATAAGTTTTTACAAGATGATTAATGGTGAGTGATGCTCATGTGATTATCAGGGAGAACATAAGTTCTAACCAGGGGGAGTACACTCCCAACTCATGTCTATGATAATGGCTTGAACCTTAGTCAGTGTTGGGGTAAATTCGACATTGATGTTTTCAGTTTGCAGGAGATTTGCTCGACTGCCTATGTTGATTATTTGCATGCATTATTGTGTCGCTAAACCTCCAATTAGACTGACAAGGTTTTGAGATATTTACTGAATGAGCAACTGATAGAGAAACATACTGTAATCATCTGTAGTGAATGAAGATAAAAGAAAAACAACACTAGTGATAATTATAAGTCAATTTGCTGATCGATTTTGTTAATAGTTTCATTAATTTTATCAATCATATTACGTGATTGTCAAGTCATGACAATGCTTTATGACGATATCCTCGAACTATTATGTTTAACTAGTTATAGTGTTGAATGAGGATTAGTCAGTGGAAAAATAGGTATTGTTGCTTTAGGTGATTCGAAATTATCAGAAATTTATAACGTTAAAGAATCCGAGACGCCTAATTTAA